GACTTCCCTAAACCTGCTGGTCTGGGAGTCCAGCAGTTCATCTAAACAAAAGGCACTTAGACTAAAACAGATATAGATGTGTTTATCCTACCATGAAACAATAAGAAGGTGACCTCTTAATGACCTCTCCCATGCTCCCAAGATGTGGGTGTGAATGCCAGAACAGTCTGGAAGGCACACAGAGTCTTTGCAGACTACTAAGGATCAGACCCCTATCAATATGACATCGATTATAAACTCTAAGCATATACGAGTAAATATTTCTAAGCATAAAAGACAATCAACCATATAAACCTGATAGTATGTAATTGCAGCATTTGTTTAGGCAGATTTAGGTGGGTTAGGTTTAGATGCTCCCTCCTTCTTCTGTTGAACACAACCAACCAAAGTCGGTGATTAAACACAGGATAAATGACAAAAAACCAGTCATGATTATTACTGACTTCTAACATCATATAACCTTTTTTATATTTATTTAAAATATGTTACACAGTGTCTGTGTTTTTTTTTATTGGTGTATGAAAGTAAAACTTGTATGACTTGTATGTTTTAACAAGGTTTTCTTACAGAAATGCTCCAAATTGTTTTTTTATATGACAAAAAAAGCCAGTTTGACTTTGAGTCATTAAATTACAAAAGTAAAACACACCCTGGAACTGCGCCAGGCTGATAGAATAATCATGTGATACCTGTTCGTGTTCTTAAAGCTCACCTGTTACAGAGATTTTTCAAACAGAGCACTTTAACCAGGTGTTGTTTCCTCCCTGCCCATGCTCTCAGGTTTAATGCTGCTACATTTTAGTGATGGTACTTTGTTTCTGTGTGTGTGCTTTCATCACTAGTGTCTCAGTCTGTGTACAGTCATTGTATGTGTTTTTACATGGGTCTTTTCTACTCCTCTGGGCTTTTCGTGAGTAAACAAAGAGAGAAAATGTCTGTTTTGTGTCCTTTCTGCTACACCTAATAACCTTGAAGCAGATGTCATGGATCTCACTTCCATAGTTAAAGTCCAAGCGTTTCTAAGCTCACCGATAAGCTCTCATGGTGTATACCATAGCTACAGTGTTGATCAGATGGTTCAAAATAAAGTGATCGAAGCCGTTGCAGTTTACCAAAACCAAATTAAGAGATACTCTGTCGTCTTTAAAAGCTACATTTCCATTTATACAAAGCAGTCTTGTTACCGCCAAAAGCACTCTACATTTCCATACAAATTTTACACACTCTTTCATACCTGAACAATTTAATGTTTAGACTGGAGGAACTGGGACCTATTGGGGGTGTTTAAAATGCCATCATATAACATCACCACTTTTAATAGATTGCATTATTTATGTTATAAACAGATCACAGTGGTTTGCACATTTGCC